GTCCCGTTGCATTCTGGGTGCACCAGCTGTCCCGCTGTGCTCCATTAGGCCAGTGGGACGGACAAAGACCGGTTCGTCCTCGTGCGGGGACGTTGTGCCGCGGCAGCGATGCAGTTTGTCTGTTGTTTCGCGCCTGCACATCTGTGTGTCGTGCTGGAAAATAAACATAAACTGATTTTTTTCTCGTCTCTTTTCTGACTGAAGGAAAATGAATAAAAATGCATTTATTTGTATTTTTTTCCCTGCTGAGTTTGGTGAATAGATGAAAAAGCAGACCACAACAAAGTGAAATGGACAAAACATTAATGTGAATAATTAATGCATCACTCAGGAGACCATTAAAGGGCCGAGAACATAAAGCGATGAGCAGACAGTAACCTTCCTCAAGCTATTACATAATGCACACAAAGATGCCTTTTTTAATTTTCGTCTTTTTATCCTGATTAAATATTCTTCATCTTCTGCAGAGTTAAATTAGCGTTAAAAGGAATCAACAACACCAACGCTAGTGGGTGGAATCCAACAGTATTTTGCATTTTCTTTCCGAAAATGTTGGTGTTGAAGGAGTTCTGTCTCATTATTCTTCTCCTCTCATCGCGGACATCGTGTGTTTACATAAGTTCAGGGAAGCGGCTTCTCGTGGAGACGTCGCCGGTGGAAGTGAAGCACTAAGGCACTCCTTCAGAGCTGTGTCGACGTTTGGAGTGCACTCTGCTCTGATTCCACTTTCTTTTTCAAGTTGGTCTCCGAGACTCGTGTCCTCGCCGACTGCCTTCGTTAAGGTCCCCCGAGGGAACGGACTCATCTGCTCAGACGGGAAGACCTTCGTGCTCTTTGTTAAATGTTCGAGGTTCTGAAGGTCTGCATTTGTCTTGCTTGCCCCGGGGGCCATCGAGGGAAGCGTTGCACATCCCTGCATCCTCTGAGCGACTCGTCCGGGTTCAGGGGGTCCTCATGAGTTCATGGCCTCAATCTCTAGTTTCAAGTCTCCTTCAACGCAGCGTGATTCTGCGGTGAGAATCACGGGACGTGGATGTGCGCCCTCCCCACCGTCAGCCTGTGAATATATTCCCCTTTTTAAACGAGTCGCACTCCCCAACATGCGTGTCTTTTCTGCAGGAGGGAGAAGTGTGATGACTCATAGCCGGCGGAAACGATTAAAACTTAAATACACAGCTCGGGTGCTCTGTGTGACTCAGGGGACTAAAACGCTTAAACGTGAGGTTGAAAAAAGGGGATGGAGATGCGGGCTTTTGTATATTTTTAGCTCCCGCTTCCACTGACGTCTGCGGGTCTTCTGTTGGCCGACCAGGTGGAACTGAGAGATATAAGTGGATGTCTGAATGGCAGCAAGTGTTCAGGCAAATGTTTTTATTGGGTTGCCAGGTTTTGTCTCGTCAAAAATGATGTCCCTGGAGTTTATCAAAACCATTTAAATCGCGGGGAAAGGCAACAAAAGGAGAATCAGACTTTTAAAAGGGTCATAACTAAAAATTGGGCTGAAATGGTCAAAATGTATTTTAATAAACGACAAATTCTGAGTATCAGGAAGGCTTTGCAGCGTTGCCATGCTGCGACATTAACCACCAAGACACCTGGCGGTTAGCCGCGTGGCGGGGGGGGGTCTTCCTCCCCCGCCACGACGGCGAGGAGGCGGCGGTGCATGAGACGCATGCAGCCGGATTCTCCCATGAGCCTCCTCTCTAGTCCGCGCCGAGGGATTAAAAAAGTCCAGGTCTTTTCCGCACAGTGTTGCTTTCCGGATGCCAGCGAGGATGCCGCTCCGTGTGGGGGGGGGGGGGGCCCTGGGTTTCGCTCAAGCTAATCAGATCAACTTGGCATGACGGGCTAACGGGCCTCCCGGCTTTAGCGCGCTCCGCCTGCTAAACTGTCGCATCGTCACTCCCACAGCTGGCTGTGTTCTTCGGGGTGCTCCGCTCGCTCGCCCGAGAGCGGCGAGAGTATTCTCTCTCTCTCTGAGCATCAACATATCGTCCCCGACGACTCGTCGGAGCTCCTCCTTCCGGCTGTCACATCTTCGTCTTAATCTGAGGAAAACCTGAAGGCACAAACAGATGAAGGGATTAGACGTCGTTGGGTCAAAGCTCGCGGTGACCTCGCGTCCCGTCTCCTTCTGAAGCGACGCCCCGCGGCGCTTTTATCGCGCTGGTCCCACGTGTGAAGCTGGTGTCTTCGCTGCCAATCCACACCCGGCTGGCATGAAGGCGTCCCTGTCGCTGTAAAGATAACACGGCAAAGGGCCGTTAATGCGCCGCGTGCTCCTTTTGACCTGCAGCGCGTGAGGCGTCGCGCCGACGCGCTGAGCGCTTTGCAGACGCTCCGTTCGCTGCTCTGATATTATAATAATGATAAACATGGTGTCACATCAGTGAGGGTCACATCAGTAACTGCAAAATCCACCCCCGCCGCCTTCAAATATGAAAAATATAATGGAAGACACTGTCAAAAGCGCATTCATATCTAGTGTGTCTGGTAATTGTACTGCACAGAATAAACTTTCTAAACTGAAACACAATCAGGAGTTATTATTTAATCAAGTCCGTGGCCTCGGAAATGACACTTTTGATGAAAAGAGGAAGCTCGTTATTCGAAAAAAACAACTATCTCATCGGTAATGTGAAGGACATGAAGTGCATCTCCACAATAATGAGAGCAGTTGTGATGCTGCTCTCCTCCTGAACGAGACCTGAACCCGGTTCTTCTCCACGGGCCCGCGGGCTCCTCGCCAGGCACCGGCTCGTAAGCCGGCCGGATTAAATCCGCCGCAGGTGCCGCTGGAGAGGACAGAGACCCGGCGGAGGGACGTCCAGTTCTCTTTTAATGATCAATTTACTCGTGCGTTGGTTAAGCTGTCGATAGACGAGTCTTTGAAACTCCAACCCGCTGCCATCAACGTCTGAGCGGATTTATCCCCGAGGTCATCGCCACGACATGGTCCATGTCCCTCAGACATGAGACCTTATGCAACCGCGCGGGGTGTCCACTCCACGTGATGAGTCCTCGGACCTTTTTACGTGCAAAATCATCTCATCGTCTTATCTTGTGAAACTGGCGATCCCGAGGATTACAAGAGGAGGGTTACATACGACCTACTTTGGAGCCGCGTAGAAAGGAGCAGCTGCTGGTCGTGTGACGCGTCGTCGGGAAGCGGAGAAAGGTTTGATTCCCTTTGGACCACTTCAACGTGCAGTGAAAGCAGAAACGATCGGCAGGCTCATCGGTGGAGCGCCAGCCGCGATCCGGCCTCGGATCGGCGTTTTCAGGCGTTTCAGAATGGTAACCGTGGTCGTACAGCACCTGGGCTTCATCAGCTGATCTGTCCCTCGTGGTCCCGTTTCTCGCGTCGGCTTCAGTTGCTGGTTTTCGCTTTTCCGTAATGAGCGTTATTAAGGCTTTTTCGGGGTGGAAGGATTGTCTCCTGTTTCTAAACGACTTTTTCTCCATCAAATAAACAAGACGGTGAGATGCCGAATGAAGCAATGAAACGATAATAATCGTTTGAAGCAAGTGCTTCAGCCGGACCACAACTCTCACGAATTCCCTTATTTCTCTGGTGATTTAAATATCACCTCGATTCGTGATGGTACCGCTCCGCCCCCCCCCCCCATGTAATCGTAGCAATCAGGCCTCCATCAGGCCGAGCCATCGCCGATAGAAGTTGACAGCTTCTGCACACTCGCACAAGTTGTTCATCACTGCGCGCTCCCTTCTTGGACCAGTCGGAGACGGAGGGGTTTTGTTGAGCCTTTAGGGTCGAGTTTGCGGATTAGATTAATGGCTGATTCATCGTGTGATTCACAACTATTTGTAGAAAGTGCACAAGCCCTTTTTTTTTTTTTTTGAAGCTGTGCTCGACACGTGTATCCGTCACACAGGATTTAACGGTTCTCGCGCCAGCAAAGCTTCCGCTGCACGAGTCACCATTCCGGTCAGTTAATACATTAAGATTCAACCATTTTGTGGAAATCACTTACAGAGAAGATGCCCATGAAAGCATATTTCAGATGCCGTATAAAACATGCATATCAATATTTTGGATATATATTATAATATTTCCTTTCAAATGCATTTTCAGTCGCCCCCCCCGAGGGGCATGTTAGCACTGGCAAAACAGCACCAGCCCTAAAACCCCAATACTGAGAATATAAATGGGCGCCTTAGAAGCTGCAGTGTGCCTCTCTTGTTCTTTTTGTCTTGTCGTCTGACAGAGAAAAGGTTCATTTGTTGGCGACGATTTGCTCAGATTAAAACGTAATCATCTTGTCAATCGAGCGACCCGAGCCGGAGCGAGCGGTGCAGTGGGACGCTGAGTGGATCAAACCCCAGAGAACAGCACACATCATTATTGGTGTTGTTTAAAGCGACCCGGATGGACACGAAGCAGCGCGTGGAATTCTCCTTGTTTTGGTTCTGTAGTTTACGCTGATGCTACGCGAATGACGACCGTCTGTGGCTCTTAACGGGATCCTCCCCGCCGGTGTTCTGCTTCCCTTCTATAAAGCGCGCCGCTGCTTTTAGCTTCTGCCTTCATCTTTCTAGCCCGCTTTCACCGCCGGAGCAGTTTGACGTCCTGGATACTTTCATCACGCCGTGGACGCGTCTGGCCCTGCTTCTCCGCGGCGCCGCTTTGTTCGTTTCCACACTGAGAGTGTGTTTTTTTTCACTGGTGTCTTCCTTCGGGGGGGGTCCGGTCGGTGGCAGCGTGGGCTCAGTGACGCATCCTGACACCGGGTCAGCTTTCACAGCTGGAGACGGGATCCAAACCTCTCCTCATTACCGTCGGATCCACTCAGTCGGCGGAACGAAGCGCGTCCCTCTCTTTTAGTTCATGAGTGCAATTGATTCATTAAAAGTTCATTTCAGCGCTGAGCGATGGCGGCCCTGCGAGTGGCGACACATCAACACTGTTTCTAAAGCAAAACGCGGCTTATTTTTCGGGGGAACCGTTGTCTTCATGTCTGCTTGTCTTCTCTTCACAGAGATGGCCTTGGATTCTGCTGTGAAGCTGCGTCCCTGCAAACCCGCATCCCCGAATATCCGGTGAGTGAAATACAAAAATCCTTTCACTAGTGACCTCCTCGATAACGCGGACCAGATGTGCTCCGGGTCTGAGCAGGTCCGGGCCGTCCCGGAGGAGAATTTGAATCTTGTACGCAGAACTTAACCAAAGTAAACCCGTTGCTTTGCTTCCTGTTTCCACTCGCAGACTTACGCGCGTGTTTCATCGAGACAGTTTAAGCCGACTTGGTAATTCTCCACAGCGTGCAGGATTTGAGGGCTTATGTTGGATGAAAAACTTTGGACTTTAAGGGGGTTCAGGTGATGTTCTAATCCGCGCAGGCGTTTGTGCAGCTTTAGCCGGACCTGGTGAAGGAGACGCCATGATGCGAGTTGGCAGCCGGCCGGGGCGGCGGATTGAGGTCAGCCCGACAAAAAACGAGGAAGATGCTAAACATCGGTAAGAGTAGCGGGCCGAGACTGTGGGGGACACCTGGGACTGAGCTCCCGAGTTCAGGCCGACGGACGTCTCACGAGGAGACAGGACGCTCATATTTGCGGCGGTGATACTTAATCCGGCCCATCAGGAATCCTCGAGCTGCTTTGTGTCGCGTCTCCCTGCAGAAGCGTCGCAGTGCCCCCCCCCCGATCATCCCGTGCCCCCCCCCCCCCGATCATCCCGGCTTCCAGAGACAAATATACGGAGGGATCCTCTCAGATCACCGCTCGCCTTTCACCCTCAGCAGATCGTTTTTTTTTTTAGAATTTGTAGAAGATGTCGGATCATCTTTTCCGATCCCATGGGACACCGGGGGAGAGGGAAGGGAGGGGGGGGGGGCACTCATTGTGCATCCTTCGTTTTCTTCCTCGGATTGTCGCAGGTGTTTTTTGGCTTTGCGGCCAAAGGTCCGCGCGTGGCGAGCTGGCAGCGAGTGGATTGTCTCCCCCCCCGGCCCTCCCCCTCCCCCGGCCCTCCCCCGCTGAGAGATCAGATACCTGGGCGCTGTGTCTTTGAGCCCAATCGATATCTGTCGACCGCACAGCGTGCCCCCCCCCCCCCCCCCCCCCCCCCCACACACACACTGGTACATTCTACTCTCTTTTTACCGCCTCGCTCCACAAAATGGCCATAATTTATCAAGCAGGGGGAGAGAGGGTGGTAATAGGATTATTGATCAATACTAATGATTCAATTACTTTAGCAGGTTTTTACATTTTCTGGCTTTTAAAACGACTGCTTTGTGGTGCAGAACAAAGCCGTAAGCGCCGCGCAGCCGGTGAGGCCGGATCCCGGAATGAAACCAGAATTTGCAGGAAACAAAATGTGACATGCAATTCCTTACAGGACATCAACTAGATCAATGTAACACGAGTCGCGGCGAGTGGTGGGATCCTGCCGCTCGCCATTCCAGGTCGGGACAGTTCTCAGCTCAACCAGCCGCTCTTTGGTCTTTAGACGTTTTCTGTCCAGTGTGTTGCTGCGTCTCGAGCGCCGTGGAGGACGTTAATATGTTGTTCTCCAACACGCAGAAGGCAGTCGAGGGGGAAACTCTTATAGAAATAGAGACACTTTGTTCCTCTCTCTGCGTTCTCGCGTATCTGTTCGTCGCCGTGCAGAGAACGTTCTCCTGCTCTGCGTCTCCACCCCCGGTGAGCACTGCCAGTGCTTCTTCTTTCACAGACTGTGAACGGGGGCGGGGGGGGAGGGGGGGGAACCCACTCAAGGGCGGCTAATGCATTTGTTTGCGTATTCCTGAGAGGCGAGCAAGCAATGTGTTCAGCATAAGAAGGCAGAAGGGAACACGCAGTCTCGTTACGGGGCCCGAGCCACGTGAAGGTTCTGTCTGCTCCTCAGACCGCGGCGGGGTGCCGGGGCGTGACCGTCCCTGTCTGGACTGAACGCTGGGCGCCGCCGGCCCGCGGCTCTCGCATGAAAGAGGAAGCGGAAAGTCCGAGCAGTGTGCAGGTCAGCACCTTTCCTTTTGTTCTTTCATCAAAGGCAACCCCTCCGACTCGCATCCGCAGGGCGTCCGCGGAGGATTCTGATTACATTACCTCTTTTCCACAGAAGAACTCATTAATTATTTGCAGGATATTTGCATGCACGCGTCTTGCATCCAAAGGACCGCCTCTGACTACCAGTGTTTTCACAAAGTCAAATGCCAGAGAACTGTCGCAATGTCGAGGACCCTCCTGCCTCCCGAGGACCGAGGCCTCCGGCCCGGAAGATTTTCAAGTGTGTATCTGAAAAACACCAACGATCCCTTTGTGGGATGCATCGCTCCCTGGTTAGCAAACGGGGACATGCAGGCAGCTTAGTGTTAACTGATGTCTGGGCTTTTAGCTACACGGGGTGGAGCCGCACAGCGATTTCGGCTTCTACCCCCTCGTGTCTCTATTGACTCTCATGTGCTCTACGCAGCCGGGTTGTGTGACGATTCACTTGTGTTGGTAAAGTTCAGGAAGCATTTCGAGGCCTGTTTGAGAATGAGAAATCTGGCATGGCACAAACCGGGTTTCAGCTGGCTTTCCATTGCCAAAAAAATCATTTCAAGTATTTTCTGAAATGTAAGCACTGGCTCGCTGGTCTCTTGTCTTCATTATGCATGGCTTTATACGGAATGGCCATGGGATTAAAACTCTGTTTTAATTGGTTTATCATGGGGAAATTATAGAAGAGTCTGCCAAAATGTAGGTTGTTTGTATAAACACAACCCAGATGATCAGCAAATTTATATAACGGCTAAAAAGGTCCCTCATGGGGCGCAAGTGTTCATCAAATCATTCAGTCAAAACACGGATAAACACGATTCCAGATATACGTCTTTCTGCTGCACGTTGTTTCCATCAGAACGCTTCGGCGCCCGGCGTGCGTCCCAGTGGCGCTGATCAGGATTCAGCAGCCGCTGCAGAGTCCTTGCTTAAGAGAACTTGTGCAGCCTGAGCGGGTGTATCCCCAGGGACGCTTACTCACACGTCTTCATAAGCATCGGTGCCCCGGGGTCCCCCCACGTCTACGCGCTGCCCCCACCTCTACGTTTCTGCTGCCAATTTTAGACCGAATAAACCGTCTTAAGTTATTCATTGGCCAACAATTCATTTCTTTCCTTTTCGGATCTTCTCAAATCTCCTCACGTAACTGCTTAGTTGTGTTTGTACTCAGTGCAGCCAAACGGCAACAAAGGATTATTTGACCTAATGTTACATCCAGTGCAACATCACAACTTAAACGCATGTGCTGTTTCCATACGTGCAAAGTGGAGGTGAGTCATTTATGTTGTCAGGGCGTGGACAAGCTGACTTTGCTTGTCAAGCGTTGTTGCGTTGTTACACCCCTGCATATTCATCTCGCCGTGTGCGTGTGTGTGTGTGTGTGTGTCTGCGTTGTGATGAATCCTAAAGCTGTCGTCCTGTGACCGTGTCCTCCCACTGACCCGTGTCCTCGCCTCGGTAATAATGTAACCACACAATTACACCGAGCACCTGAGCGATAACCCGAAGGCTAAAATACATCTATGACATCGCGTTGAGCTCGGGGTCGCAGTTCCTGAGTCTTGCAAGATATTAACCTGCACCCACAGCGACCCCGGCGGCCTTTGCAGTGGTTTATTTAACCGGCATCTGTGCAGATTATGATGCATATTCAAGCAAAATGCCACTGTGAGTTTGGTGGCTCGGACACAAAAGGAGGACGCAAAAGGAGGCCGCGAGGATGGCAGACCGCCGTGACGACCGGCCCCGTGTGTGCACGCTGCAGTTCCTGCTCGGGGCCCGTTCACTTCTAGACGTAAGCGGCGGAGGCAGAGGCGGCTCGGGGGCGGGAAGTGCAAGTATGACATTGGTGTAAGGGGAGCTTATCGGTGAAGGAGGAGGGAAGCGCGTTAAAGACCGCTAGCTCTCCTTGAGTTTCACAGATTGTGATATCAGCAGTGGGGGAAAGACGCGGCGTGTGTGTGTGTGTGTCTGGGGTAATAGTGTTGGCACTGCCCCCGAGGGAAGGCAAGGATCGCGTATCGCTTTAATGAATTGCAAGGGAGACAACCCCGCGGGGTGGGCTGCCCGACGCGAGGCGTATAATGGATGTATGCTGTGTTCCCTTTGGGCCTGTGGGCCGGCTAATTGGCAGAAAGCTAATTCGAGCTCTTCACTGACCGAGCAAACAGAAGCCCGACGCTGTTCCGTGCGAGTCCGTCCCCGTCTGGTTGCTCCTGGCCTCCTTTTTTGTCTCGAACCATTTTTTCAGATGTCACAGATGTTTATGAGATCTATTTGTTTTCCCTCCTGGGGACAGCGTGGTCCTAAGAAGAAATGAAAGACAAACAAAGGCCAAAAGTTCCAAAGTTAAACCAGCTGCATGGGTGGAAAAAAGTCAGCTGCATCACACCGCCGCGCGATCTCTGCAGGTGTGAGGTGGCGAGGTCACGACTTCTATCCGCCGAGCCAGAAGCGGTAACGACCGTTGCTTTTCTTCACATATTCATCTGCCGCCGATACATGAATACATTGTTCCCGGCGAGTTGGTGCTCCGATCACTGCTCCCCACCGTCCCAACGACTCGCTCCGGGTTAGGCTCCAAGCGCTCAGCAGTGGGCTCGCCGCACCGGAGCGCCCCGCCGCGCGTGGGCGGCGTAACCGATGGAGAGCTCAAACCGATAGTGTAGCGATGTGTTACTCAGCTCTGACATCACCTGCATCTGTGCATCCACACGGTGCACCCACGTTCTCCTCTGGAAGTCCTCTGCGTCGGCGCACATGCGCCGAGGGCTGCAGTGTTCTTCCAGTTCTATGTAATCACCTCCGTTTTCCCTCTTCTGTTACGTTCCCGCGGCTCCACGGCTGCCCTCCATCGAGTGAAGAACGTATTTATGCTCATTGTTATTTATGATGGCAGGATGAAGTCAGGTGACGCACTGGGTGAGGAGAGTTGTGGTGGAATAAACACGGGACAAACACGGGACTTTCACATGGGAGGCCGATGTTTGTGGGTCGTGTGTAACCGAAGCTAAACTAAGCGTATTGAGGCGTATTGAGGCGTGTTGAGG